CCAGGGGCTTCTTTATCCGGAGTAACAGTCCTCCATTCGCTTCGTATGCCTTGCACCTTGTACTTTAGGCTTTATAGGGTGGGCTCCGACTTGACCGTCCTTAGCATCACTTTGGACGGCAGTACATACTGTGACGATGAGTACCGATAAGCGTGCGCAAGGAAACTATTATATATAGCAGCTATATTCGAAGTCACCTATGAATAGTCCGATCTTAATAAATGATAGAGCAATCAAAATGTATCACTTCTGTAAGAGCTTATGCATATTAAGAGTTTTAGAAAGTCATTTGGTTTTGAAGAAATGGGGGTAAAAGTGCTAAAAAATTTTGTCTTGTACTGGAGCTTTTGGGGCCGGTGAAGCAAAATTTTTACTTTTATGGCATGGTTGTATTCTGGCATCAAACAAGCGACCAACGACACCAAAATTATCTCAATCCGATACTCCGTTAAAGATAATCAACAAACAAGACAAATACACATTTTTTAAATGAGAACGTTTTCCCGTTTTTGGTTCTATGTGCATATCACAGTGATGTTCAACACAGTGTTTTAAAGACTGCAGTAAGTTTCATTTCATATGATTTAGCTTCTGCTTCTACTGTCGCAGTCGAAGCAAATGCAAAAATCAAAAAGCGACAAGAATCAGAAAGCATCAACAGTCGCTGTTTTTCGTTTCATTGCTTGTTGCTATAGTTGTGAGCGTAAGTCGGAGCTGCGACAGGCATCGACTTTCGGAAGTCATCGGAAGTAGCAGTCGAAAAAGTTAATACGACTGTTGGATGACTTAGCATTTTTGTTTCGTTTTTGTTTTGTTAAAGCAGCGTAAGTCCCATGTTCCCATGGGAGCTATATGATAAATTCGTCCGATATTAATCAAGTTGAACAAGAACTAACAAAAAAAAAATTAAAAACAGCAAGGTTATCAGGCCTGTTTCAGTTTTCACTCGGAAGAGAATTCGCCAACATTGGCGGATTTCTCTTTAGCATAATCAATGTTCCCTTGCTTGCTAACAAATTTCCTTGAGAATTTACTTTTTGGGGGGAAATCAAACCGCTGACTGCCACTACTGCTCTTATCCAGGCAAATCTCTGATCAACATTTAGCTCGCTTTCTAATCTTTGTGCATTATTGGTGCATACATTTAATGTCTAAAATCAGTCAAAAAAACATTGGTCCCCAAAAACAACAAATTGTGCTTATTTTAAAGGCAGTGATGGAAACTGGACAACAAAAATGTTGAACAACTCGTGTGGATATCTGCTGTGTTGCCCAAAATAATTCAAAGATTATTGGTTTGATTTTAACAACTCTTGGCAAATAACGAGTTGAGAAGGCAACCGAAATTTAAGAGGCAATGCGCCATTTGGCGTCCACGGCCACTCTGTCACCTTCACAAACCCCTGGGCAATGTCGACTTTCTCCTCCTAATAAAATTAATTTTAAATACAAAAAATATTCGTTTTTCTTACTTACATTTTGTATTTTAAATTTTGTGCGTGAATCAGCTGCTTTTCACAATTAGGTTTCAGGACCAAAGTTGGCAAATACGATGAAAAAGGTCCCAACACAACACGCTTTGCACAATAAGTACATTAAATTAAGGGGTTATAAGAACAAAAACACTTTTAAACTAAACTTAAATTAATTTATCTAATCATATAAAAACAAACCAAAAAGCGTCAGTACCATGCCAACCTTTGCCTTTCAAATTCGGAAACTAGAAAGGGGTGCGGGGTTTGCAAAATCCAGTAAGTTAGAATCGTAGCGATTCTGATGTGACATCACAAAATAAGTTTTAGAAAGGTAAATATGTTACTATTAACCAAATCTGTTATGCAACAAAGTTCTTAAGACATCAAAGAATAAGGTAAAAATTTTATTTGCACTTTAAGTTAGCGCAAAGTATTTTAAAATAACTAATTTCTGTTCTTGCGGATCTTAATCAGTCAGCCAAATGCTTGGTGAAAAGTTTCCGTGAACTTTTTGCGGAAGCTACCAGAGCATTAACAGAGGGAACTTAGATTTCGTGCAAATCTTTCAGAAGTGAAAACTCGAACAGGGCTGTATAATTTTCCTTCTTTATTTTTCAAGATTTTCCCAATGCGAGCTATTTGATATAGTCGTCCGAACAGTCTAGTTCCAATTTATATTCTACGTGAAATAGATTACTTTTGGGAAATTGTCCTGCAGATAGATTTATAGCTGAGAGACCAGTTTGGGTAGAAACGGCAAAGCGGCTAGAGATACTCTCCTTGTGATACTGATCAAAAATATATATAATGTAATGTATTGTTATGTAATATAATATAATACCCTCTGCAAGGCTATAATGAATAGAACTGTTGTTTTAATGCTTAAAAAAAAAAAACAAGAAAAGAAGCAAACTTCGGCAAGTCGAAGTTTTTATACCCCTGCAGCTATTGCAAAAATTAAATATTCTTTAAAACATCTAAATTTCGATGTATTATGTATGTTTAAAAACATTGATGCTATGAATATTTTTAGCTTAATTATTCGATCGATTCTATTTCAGCTATATGATAGCGCACTTAGTTTAGTCGATCATTCATTTAATTCAACTTTCATTAAAAAGAGATCTTCAGGGTTTTGAGGAAGGACATTCATTATACATCCATTTTACGAAAAGAGAGAGTATTTTTTTAAAGCCGATGATGCCGACTGGAAATAACCTTACAGTGCCTGTGCGATGTCAGGTGGCGTTAAGCTTCGATCAAGACTAAAAACTGTGTGCTTTGGTTTTTTTCAATACCGAAGTCATAAAGTCGTGACCATGATATTAAGGAAATTTTTTACTGTAACCAGATTTTGGAGCTTTGCGGTAATATGACTGTTGTTTTAAACAAACACTTCTGATTACAAACAAAAACACCTCTTGACGAGGTAAAATTAGCCTGACGATCGCACCTTCAACTCAAAAACTTCTTATATCACATTTTGTGACGACTATTTTTTATTTTACCAAAAAAAAATACTTTATATTTATTTAATTTGTTTCCTAATCGGCACAAAGTTACACAATAAAATCAGCCTTGTTACTATATAAAATAAAATAAAAACAAAAGTAATTTTTTTACGTAAAATAAAAAATAGTACGATCGTCACTTTATTTTTATTATTTATTTATCAATAGGTTTTTCTTTTATTTCTTGTAATTGGAACAGAAAAACAGGGGTGGTGCTAAGCGATTAGTTGTAACGGATTTCAACACAGTTTTCAAATTTCACAAAACACTACAAGAAAAGAGTAAGTTGAATTTTCAAGTTTAAATTCAAATTCACCTTTCTTTTTGCCCACAGTTAGTATTCTTAAAAGAATTAATGAAGGCACGTGATTTTGATATTATATAAATATTGTTAAAATTCCATTATTAGTTTCCAAATAATGACATGGAACAAGCACTTTCGCAGAATAATTAAATTTTTTTTTTTTATTTAATATGCCATAAATTTCGTTCCACTCCGTTTGGCGTTTTATTGTTTTAATACTCGGAAGTTTCGGCATTCCGAATGCACGGGGTCGAAGTAAGTCGGATGTATGAGAAACTTATTGACCAAAGGTTAAACGATTAAAATTGTCCAACGCTTTCTCTGTCTGTTATCCTGAGGTCTCCTGGATGCCTTATCATTGCCAAGAAAGGCCGTAGAGTTGTGAAGGTCATTAGGCAACATTTCTTACATACCAATATGCATTTGCAATTGTACGCAACGCCCGGTTGTGAGCTCTTTGCACCCTCATGACACTAGAGCCAAAAGCTGTGCCCAATATCTGAATACACTATGTCATAAAAGGCACCACAATCGACCTGAAGAGCAACACTTTATTGCCGAACGACATTTTGCTGCTACCTTCGTAACACAAAAATGTATAGAACTGCATTGGCCTATCCCAACTTCCCAGAAAGGACGCTCTGACGACCGACTCCGACGGCAGCAGACTGTCGGAGCAGGAGTCTGCTTATGCTTTAAAGGCACAGCGCCTGTTCGCTTTAATCTGAAGACGGTAACGGATTCTTAAGCCCTTTTCGTCAGTTGATGTCAAGTGGCAGCGGAACTTTCTGCTGCTGTATTAGATTATTATTATTTAAAAATTAAACATTACTTCATATTACACTAGCTTACAAATTAAAATTGACAAAGTCCTCCAGTTCCAGTTTTTACAGTTCCTGTAATCAGGACTTCCTGATTCAGAATGGATAAAGAAATATGGCGCCATCTTAACTAATACATAGCTGCCACAAAGATATATTATTATAAAGAAGTCTTAAAACTACCCACAAATCCGAACGAAAATGGATCTTGGATCCTGGCAAAGTAGAGAGATCGCGAACTATCGATATTGCGCTGGATCTTGGGCCCTAACACTGATAGACAACGAGGTCGAACGGTTAGTAAGCGGACTTCGGACCCGTCCAATGAAGACGCGCCGTGAATTAACTGTACGGCAGTGAAGCTTGCATCATCGCAAATGCAGTAAGCAAATCAAGTTCGCGAGAGCCAGCCAGCCAATAGCGACACCGCAGCAGCCAACGCAGAGCCTCGCTGCAAAAAACAACAACGACCGACAGTAACAGCAGAACACTGATAGTGCTGTATAAAAAGAGACAAACAAACGGATAGAGTTCCCAAAAATCCTTATGCTTCAGTTATGAGAGTTCAGAATTCAGCGAGCAGTGACCTGCCCTAACAGGCTGTCTTTTATCGCCTTGGGGAGAATGTCTTTTGATGTTTCAAATGTTGGTCCATCTGACATATTTTATTAAACCTTAAAATAGAGATTTGCAATGAGACCCATGAGATTGATATCAATCTTCCTCACTAAGCTGGTATATAATCGCACTGCCACGGTGCACACAATTACTTCGGGTGGCATGTGATTCCCCTTTTTTATCATTTCTTCTTTTTTTTATATATTTATAATATTATTAAAATAAGCAAAATCCTATATATAATAATAATTTCTGTTTTTTTTTATTCCAGGCCGAAAATTGTACGTAAAAAGCCTGCTTTATACAACCTGAAGTTTTCAATTATAGGCTTAAAAAACCAAGAGAATGAGTTAAAAAAGCGAATAGAAAATATGGGTGGCAAATGTGAAACCAAAATAACGGAAAGCACAATTGCAATTATATCAACTGAATCAGAAGTCAAAAAGGTATCTAGTCGGATGAAATCTGCACAGTTGCTTGGGATACATATTGTGCCCATGGAATATTTAGATTTTGTGGAAGCTGACGCAGAAGGAGCTATTATTTATATAAATAGCATGAGTATCTGCAATTGGGGAACAGATCCAACATTAAGAGTTTCACAAGATACAACAAAAACCTCAAAGCTTAAAAGTATATATACAAAATCCATGCCCATATCAAGAGCGTTTAAGGTAAAAGATGGTCTGGCTGTTGATCCTGACAGTGGGCTTGAGGACATCGCCCATGTTTACGTAGAGAGTAAAGACAAATACAGTATTGTGCTCGGTTTGACTGACATTCAGCGAAATAAAAATTCATTTTACAAGTTGCAGCTTTTGGAATCAGATAAAACGGCAAAGTAAGTAAACGAAAATTGTGGACATCAGTATGAAACTATTTAGGCATCTATGTCAATTTTTTAAAAAATTTTCTCCGATAATTTTGTACAGCGGTTTAATGTTTAAGGCACTAAAATCTATTCCTATTCAGGGAAATGTATTTTTATATTTAATTTGAAGATACTTATGAACTTTTTTTGTTAAAATTAATTTTTAAAAAAATCGAATGATTTAAGGATTCTATTTTAAAAAAAAATAAATTCAGGCGGCCAGAGCATAAGTGCTAACTTCGAACCTTAACGTAAATTAAGTTCTCGATGTTTGCTTTTGCATTTGCAATTTGCCCTGCGTGGCTCTCCTTCAATTTCTGTAATTGCTACTCCTTTTTGATTTCCTTTTGCCAATCGCTGCCTGGCCCTTTGTCCACGCTAAGAATCTATTTAGTTTTAGTTCGATTTTGTACTCGCTCGCTGAAGGCAAGGTAGCAGATCGCCTACCTATTCTTTTCGTTTACTTTCGTTAGTTACAGGGCACAGACAAATCGGTCTGCCTGCCCAACCAACTAATCTCAAACATATACATTAAACTTTGTAAATAAGGGCTTGGTGCCATTTAATTAAACTTAGTGCATAATTAATTGGAAATTTATGCGGTTTTATTTTATTTGGGCATCACATAGCTTAGGTTTATGCGGTTTTATTTTATTTACGCATCACAAAGGTTAGTGTTAGTAAAAAAGCTCACTGATCCAACAGCTTTTAAACTAGTAAAACAGTCAAATGCCATATCTCGTTTAAGAGGTATTGTTAAATGGTCTTTGTTTTTAAATTATAACAAAATCTTTTATTTAAAATTATATTTTGACACTTTTTTTTGCAGATTTTTTCTATAACGGCTTTAACGATTGTTGTTCTACTTTACTTAGCTTTTGAGATTATTTTAAACCATTACTAAACTTTTTTTTAAATTTGTTTAAATATATATTTTTTATATTCCGTTTGTTCTCACGGGACCTGTATAATGTAATCGTCCGATTTCAAAACTACTTATAAAAATTCAAAATAAGTAAATATATTTGAGAATACACACTGAAAATTTCATATCGTTCCGGTGAATATTTTCGAATTTTAAAAGTAGTTTCAGAGTATTTGCAAGTAGGAATACAAACTTTAAACCCGTTTTACTCAAAATGGTGTTTTTGAAGTCGGTGACCAACATTACTCGAAAGCTGCTACGATTATATATATTTTTTTAGTAATTAATCAAACATTTTTGTTCTGATAAAATCTTAAAGTACTATATTATTCTAACAGTTTGTTAAACTGTATTTATGTTAGACGGTTCTAATAATTGTCACAGGATGGGACGGTCGTAACGCGAAGGCGAGAAAGGCTTCATACCAACGTTAGTGCTCTACCGAGGTGGTTTAGATGGGTTGACAGCTGTGTGTACTAAATTTTCATGTGTTGCGCTATTACACCTCGGACGGGGAGTTCATTCAAGTCTCTCTGAATATTTCCACGTACGGTGCGCCGTTGATAGTTCTCAGGATCTTTGCTTTGGGCTCTCTGCACGATTTCTAAGTTGCTGTTACTGGCGCTCCCACACAACTGGGAGCTTTAAGTTCAGTTTGGTTTCGAAACGGAGTTGTAGAGTTTATAAGCCAATGCAGACTGCTTGCCTTCAGCCGTAGATGAGTTCGTTTCAATAAGCGTGCGCCAGGTAAGACGTCTGTCGAGATGTACGCCACGATACGCTACTTCATCTGACTAAGAAAGCACGTTGTTTACTGCAAGGTTTGGGAAATTTTGTTTATTTAAGGTAAAGATAACGTGTTTACATTTTTGTTCATTTACTTTTATACTCCAGTCTGAGAGTCATTTCCCTATTGCATCTAGATGGGTCGCAAGTTGCGCTGGTGCTGTTGTCTGCTCGTATTGATATCAGAAGTGTATCACAACGAATATCCTGTTTTAAAGATATGACTTCAAGAGTTTATGTATGTTATTAGGGAGCATGAGAGACGTCCAAAAATACCGCAGTGCAGTATTTTCTGTTTTCGAATGCACTTCGAACTTCTGATGTTTTCAGTTCACCTGTTCGATAGTTTCACGTTTTTTGGGGAAGACGATTTGATGTGCCGATATATGGTATGATATGGGCTAGGAGACATTTTTCAAAAACACGATAAACACAAAAGTAAACTTGTTGCCTGTATCAGGAGGTGGTGTGTTCCGGGTTTTGGTATCATTATGATAATGGCCCTTTTCCACCTCTTTGGAAAGCAACCCAGTCTTGTCATCGCGTTGAGCAGCTCGCATATGGTGTTAACAGCGCATAGTGGGAGTTCAATAAGCATTTTTGGAGTTTTTGGAGGTGGGTAGCGAATGTGTCGACTCTGTCTTTGTCGCTTCGGCCCCAGCCATTTGCAGGGGTCATCATTGGCGTAAACGTTAGTGTTTGAGGACTCAGTAGTGTTTCCATAGTGGGAATTTTAAGCTGGATGGAGATAGTTACTCCATATAGCGCTGTTGGGATCTGTCTTCTTGTCGTAGTGCTTCTTTCAGCTGTTTCTTTGCAGATGGCTTTGTAAGTAATTTGCATTCCGGCCGGGAACGACGCTTTGCCAGAACTAGCAGCTCTATTTCTGCATTCGTGTGCTTTGTGTTAAGAATTATGTTTTGACTGACTCTAGTATGCTTACGCTTTTGTTGATGTCATCTTCGCCAACTGGCTGTTGGTTTAGGCTAAAGAGTACAGGCGATTGGTCTGATGATAGATCCGAGAGAGAACTGGCGCTAATCAGATTTTGTGGGATGTTATTTGTATCTGCAAAGTCAATGAAGTCTGGTAGTTCTCTGGGGTCACTAGGCCAGTGTTTAGATAAACCAGGTGATTGTCGAATGAGCTTAAGTCGATAAATTGCGCTTCGGATATCGTGAATCGAGGAGGACAGTATATCGCTGCTAGAGCTAGATTGTGACAAGCCAACTGTATATTGATAGATGTGGTGCGGTTTTTAATCAGGATTACAGTGCCTCCATGGCCTTTCCATCAGGATGATTAGTATTATAAATCATATACCCTCGGATTTGGAAGTTGTATTTGTTGGTAAGGTGGATTTCTGCAAGTAACATTACGTCGATTTCATTGTCATGCATAAATTGTGCTAGTTCAGGTTAGTGCCGTGAAACGCCGTTGGCATTCCACAGTGCAATGCGCAGGCGAGCCATTGATTATTTTGATAAGTTTTGGAGCACCTGAATTAAAATATTTTGAATTGTCAACTTACTTTGCATGGTCGTTCGCGTAAAAGGAAAGAATGCACCCATTCTTTGTTGCAATCTGAGTATCATTGTATCCATTTTATTTTCTGTATGCTTTGCAGGTTGGTAAGAGACTGTAGGTGGTGATTGAACATTGTGGGCAGGGCTCGCATGATCCGATTTTAAAACGCTTGCAAAGCTTACGTTTTTAGTTATAGTGGAACTGCCGAGTGAAGATCTGACTGCTGACGAAAAGAAAATTTCAGGTATGGAATTGGAGGGTTGATACTCTTTGGTTGATCCGATTTCTTAGCTCCTTGTATACTGGACAGCCTCTGTAGTTTGCTGTTACTCCTCCAGTTACTACTTCTACTTCTATTTGGCTCGTTTTTTAATTGAGACGTAGCAGAGGTATGCAGCCCTCCGCAAGCGACGCATACAGAGTGAAGTGTGCAGTAAGATTTGATGTGTTCGTATTCCTGGCGATTTGCGTACTGGACTGGGCCATTGCGTTTATGCGGCTCTTCAACCATGATTCTGCGATGTAGTAGATACTGGAGATTGTAGTTGGGATGGACTTCGTTTTTCTTAAGGGCCTTAGCTCCTTTCTAAATAAATATTTTTTCCAATACTTTGTCTTAAAATACAATTAAAATATAATATAATATGTGTACAAACTATCAGATAATTAAATTGAATAGTTTTCTCAGAAAAAATGTTCAAAAATTCGCTTTTTTTGGCCTTTTAACTGTATATAACACCTTAATGTTTATTAAACTTCATTATTTATCTTTTCTCTTGAAATTTACAAAGTTATAATAACCAAGTGTAGCCTTCTAGGCGGGCTCGTCATAACCGCCATAGTCGTAGAACGAACGCTTATCCTTGATAGCCCGTCAAGCAATCCGAGCGAAGTGAGCACACCCCGGGAAGGGATATAGTGACATATTCACATATTCAGTTATGTGCCAAGAAATAAAAGTAAGCAGTGGAGGCGATCCCACGTTGAACCAATGTAAACAATTTACATCCGAAGCGGGCGATGCCGCTCTTCCATAACATAAACAATTCTTGGAATCACTAAGTGCCGTTTCCTGAGTGGCACTCTTACTCCAAAACTTATGTACCATTATTTTCCCAAGCGAGCTTCACGCTTTCAAACTTATAAAAAGAAAGGGCAGCACAAGTAATTTAGTCTTACGCTGAGATCAATCGAATAAATACGTAAAACTATTTCTTCGTTTATTTATTATCCTTAGCGTTGTCCCTAGTTTATTGTCGGGGCATTAGTTTGGCTCGGTGTGTTACAAAGAGTATCCAAAACAAAGAACCTCGAGTGAAAAATAAATTAAATTATCAGCTGTACAAGTAGAAAACCGCCGTTTTCCACTGGGTGGCGCCACCTTTGGTTATCGGTGAGGGAATTGCGATCAGAAGCATCACATGGCAAGCTTAGGTATCGGTCAACAAATCCACATCATCTCGCTCGTCTATTCTCATTGTCAATTTTTTTTGTTGGTGCGCGAAGATGTCGAAATTAGAACCGAATAAGCGTCATTTGCGGGAGATTTTGCTTTTCGCTTTTCATTCTGCTGCTGAAGCTCGTCGAATGATTGTAGCAACATATAGTGAGTTGTGTATCAGTGAAAGAAGTGCCGAGAATGGTTCGTGAAATTCAAAAATGGTGATTATGACGTGGAAGACAAGGTTCGGCCAGGTCCCGTGAAAATGTTTTAAGATGCAGCTTTGGAGAT